AGTCACACAATTGTTACTGATACAAGTACAGGAAACAATGTAGCCAATAGCAGCATATGTAGCACAAAATAAATGTTAGTTTGCAGTTTTATGTCACTTTTCACTAGCCAACTTTACTAGTTATACTTGTATTTTACAAACATAAAGAGAATCTATGATGGATTTTTTCTGAATATATTTCCTGATTTGATATTTTCGACCCCAAATTTGATTTAAGGATGCAAAACTCATTAAAGAACACATATTTTCACAACAGAGAAAACCTTACAATACAGTGTAATTTAATATAAGCCACAAACTTTTTGTTGGACGTAATTGATATGGATTTTTTAGGTGAGTCGATGGCCGTGAATGTCGCTGTTTGGTTCGTTAAGGGATTTTGGTGAATCCGCCGTTTCAGTATGGTTTTCCAACGTTTTTGTTAGATGGTTGAGATTATGTGTTGTGGGAGGCAAGTCTTTGGAAATGGGTGAAGAGTGGCAAAGGTAGTTGATTGGGTCTTGCAGTATATGTGATATTGATGATACGATTACACATCTGGGATTTTTGAAGAAGGAACCCGAGAAAACGTTGGACAATGGACCAGAAAACAATATCACTAGGTGGACTCTCCAAAGGGGGATTCGTTATAGGGGGAATGACATTGGATTATTACTGATGGGTGATCAGAGTCTAATCCGAATAACAGGTGAATTTGGTAGTTAAGGAAGTTTCATTGGATTCCTGTGTCTAATATGTCGGGTTGTGTATTATGGTTGAAAGGATGGTATGTAGTAGTAAATGAAATAAGTAAATTGAAGTTGAAAATGCTGAGTACACACAGACAACGTCACTTGGATTGTTGGTTCTCCAGCTTAGAATATGGGCTAACTGTTCGGATGGTCTCGCGGGCAAGCATTTACCGTAAGTTAGTATATCTATACACCGTGACATAGTATATCTATTTCTGAGGGTATACTAGCTGTCATTATATCGTGTACTTTTTTTCCCCCAACAAAAGTCAGCATAAACAGAAAAGTGCACTTCAGCGCCCCGGACAGACTCTACGTCATGAATCCACGAACAGTTCTAAAGTTTAATTAAGAACTCCTCGGTGATCGAAATATTCAGCATCGCGTCTAGCATTTCATGCATACACGCACATGTTCTACAATTGAACTCTGCAGCAACGACGTAGTTAGTCTTGTCTTACAATCCGTGGAGATTTGTGAAATGCTTAAGATTGTAACTAAACACTTTGATGACGGCTACAACATGTTCCCGCCGCGCAATATTACTGTAAACAGTACCAAGTACATTCAATACCAGTACAATCAATCGCGGTGTGTAAATATCACGCACACCCAGATGCCTTCGTTACTACGTGCATGAAGACTACGAAGTTTATCAAAAGAGTGTTGGACTTTGTTACTCCCCAATTTCTAGTGCTTCATTTTTCCACGGTATTGTTTTATTAATGTAGGTGGGGTAATGTATACATCGAAATAGATTTATTAAATTTTGTCGGTGTTCGCGAAACTCCCGAAATCGTTCATAGAAAGGATGCGTAAAAGTAGGATCTTGGGATTTTCCCTTAGCTGAGTTACATGGGGTTCCACGCATAATCACACCTTTTAAATCACGTATGTATAGCCCACCTCGTCCTTCAATGCACGGCCTGTGAATGTCTCCCAGGAGGAAATGCTAAGTTGGAGTTTTAAGAGCGTTTTGACATGTCTTTGCCTTGCCTGGGATTCCATCTTCAGGTATCTCTCCCATCCAGGCAGTGTCCCAGTTGGAACACGCTCGAAGCTCTGAGCTCCTGTGTAGTTGTGTAGTGTCTGTATGTGTAAGTCTATGTGTGTAAGGGAAGAAAGACGAGGAAGAAGAAGGAAACATCGCGCGAGGTCCGTCAAGTTCCGCCCCTCCGTTAGGGTACTGTTTTAGAATTCGCCTGAAATTAATCGAAGAAACCACGCAAAACTTTCTATTAGAGCCCGCAAGAATTCTCCTCCAAGCAGAGGCTGTTTGTCCAGCTGATGTCGAAAATCCGGCACTGTCGGACTCCAACCTTAAGATTTCCCGGGCAGAATCACTGCAGAGACAGCGGCAATGTCAGTTCTGAGCAAAACGCAGCATATTTGCAGGTTAGAGACAATGAAAATACATGTTTACCTGGGGAAACGTAGGGCAGTTTGGACATAACTTCTTAGAATACTGAAAGTGAATGGAATATTTATGGGATATATTGTTTGCGCAGGAAGAAATTATGATTTCGTCGTATTTAGTAACATTCGTTTATGGGGAGTTCGAAGAGCAGGAGTGGCATTTGTGGCGGTTGTCTTTTGGAGTTCCTGTAAGAATGCGAGGAACTCGTAGTAGGGAATGGCCACGGCTGATGCTGAAATGGTACTGCAGAGTAGGGTTTCCACTGCGAAAATGAGGGTTTGCGAGGAGGATGGAAGGTGATACAGAGATTGATAGTAAGGAAATTCACGTGAGTTGAAAATTTGAGGTACTACTGAAGTTAGAGGTTTTGAACTTTATGTTAGAATCTTCGTTCATAAGACGATCATACTTCAAACGTTAAAACAATTAGCCTAATGTTTCTAAGAATTATCACGATAATTTCATAAGTGTTATGTGAAATTACAGGTAGCGGTTGAAACTTATCTCGAAGGTTATTGAGAGTCATGGTGAGATCTTTAGTTTGAACGAAAATATGAAATTTGTCACAACTTATTTGTTACCATCCACGAGTACTACGATGTTCATTGAAACGCTCCTTCACAAATAAGCTAATACTCCTAAAGGTTTCAATTTGTTTATATCCTTCTTTACGGAACTTTGATAGGAAATTAATGCAATGGGTGATTGATTAGCGTACAACTTAAATTGCGTATAACTCGGTCTACGAACAACGTTTATCAAATATATTTATGTTTAAAAAACTAACATCGCCGAATACAATATTTGAAAATAGGATGACCCGACAACAAGCGTCGCAGTTGGTAACATTCATAAAACAGCCTTCTAGTGCACCCGGTAATGCCTCGCTATTGCAGTATATTATACTTCACCCACTACTGGCCAGGTGAGTGATAATCAGTTTTACGCTACGCTGTGCAACAATTGTAATAGATGGAAGATTTTCTCACAATTATGAGTTTATTCTATATCAAGGTTTTTAAGTCAAGAATCCTGTTGTTAAAAAGTTCTCCCTCAAATTTGGGCGTGCGTTCGGAATGACACGGTTATCTAGGATAAATTTGATTTGCTTGTCATAGATTCAAATAATAATTCCGGCCGATATTTCACAATCGCAGGGACAGAATATTTGCACGCAGTAAAGACTCGCGCTTAATCCTCGATTGTGCGGCGGGTTGCGTAGAGTTCAGGGGTGATTGTGTCGTTACAAACGAATACATCATCAACGCCTAAGCATGTTCGATTTAAATCAAACCACTCTTTAAACACTTCCATTACCAATAATGTGTGAAAATTTCAGCGAAATCGATCACACATTCAGTTTTATACACAATGATAATAATACTAATTAATATTATTATTGTTAATAAACATTCTTTAACGCTTCACCAAAGAAAATACGATGACTGATGAAAATTAAAATGTACGCACTATGTTTTGTAATTACCAACTGCATATACAGAAACGTAGTGGTTAATTGTATGTGTATCGAGAAGGAATGAATAATTTTCCTAGAAAACTTCCTCGCAAATAGACGATTGCTTATTGAACTATGTAGTGGAACATCACCTTTAAACAAATTTCGTCGGTCGTTTGATCAACCACCCACAATTAATGGCTAATAGATGCCTCATCATTCTCTGTGCATATCTTTACGATCGAGTACATCGCACGAGGTCGTATATCCTTTGTTTTAACCCCACTGGGCCAACGCACACGCGCCTCGAGGTCCAATACGCATAACCGCTCCGCGCCGCCCTCCGACTGTACCTCGGCGTCACGGGCGGCCCCGGGAGTGGGGAAGGCGGCGGGCGGGCGGGCGGAGCGGAAGCGGGGAGGGGACGCTGGGCGCGGCCCGCGGCGGCGGCGGCGGCGGCAGCGGCGACGGCGGCGGTCGCTTGCCAGTCCGACGCTGCGCCTCCGCCCGTGCCGACGCTGTTTCAGCGCCTATCGCCGCCCTCGCCTTCGCTCGCCGCCCAGCGCCCAACACAACCGAGGTGAGCGCACGCCCAACCCTCGGCGGAGAAAGTACGCGCAGGAACGGAGCGGCGTCGCTAGGCGCGCTGGGGGAGCGTGTGGTCGTTTTGCTTGTGCTTATTTTTAATAACACACCTACGAAATAGATCGTGGTGCATTTTAATGAAAAGTAATTGTTGCTAGGTAATAAATCAATTCATTAAAATATGGACTTATATTTAAAAAACTAATATTTTACATTTATAATTGGTGTCTTTCACTTTGCGCCCTAGAAATTTCGGCACCCTTCAGTACCTTTACTCTAATATAGAAATCTAACCCACAGTTCACACACTTTGAAGATGTGTTCACTAAAGATGCACAGATATAACTAAATGTCGTCTATATCAGACTATCTGGAAAGAGTAAATAAACTTATCAAAACTCGCAGGAATGCTAAAGTTGTGACAAAGTGTGCTTCTATGACATTATGATCAGACGGTAATCATAAAGTGAATCAAGACAAATGAAAAGTTTCAACCAAATTGGAACGTAACATGACGTGAATCCTCTAACTCTCAATTTTGTTGTATTTTCACGGAAATTCTCACATTTATTTGTCCTTTTACCGAGTGTCTTCCGAACCAAGTTTTTCCATGCCTTTTGGTAATTGTAAGCTGTCATTCAAATTCGTTACAACTACAGAAATGGATTCCTCACTACCTTCCTTCGGCTTTTCCAACCTTGAAATAGTTAACGCTTAGATGTCTTCCTCCATCGGTATCGAGATGTAGATGTTCCTCCAACTTTTCGTTATTTTCTTCATTCCCATAGTTCTAATGCTTCTTCTTTATTCATTAACTAACTTCATTTCTTTCTTTCTTTCGTGAAATTTCTCTGCCAGCGGTGGGCGCCCAGGTATGGTGAGAGGTGGGCGCGCAGCTTCGGAAGCGGTGCGGCGCGGTGGCCGCGCTCGCCTGTTGCTCCACGGTGACGCCCACTCTCTCCGAAGCCCGCTGCGAACGCCATGAGCCCACGCTCTCGCGCGCCTCCGACCCCGCCCCCTTTGCCCGCAGCTGCCCTTGACTGCCCGGCTCTGCCCTCCACTGCCCTTCGCTGACCTCCCCTGTCCGCCTCTGCCCCTCATCGCCCACCTTTGCCGTCTCCTGCCCGCCTGCCTTCCATCGCCCGCTCCTGCCCTCCATTCCCAGACTCTGCGCACCATCACCTGCCTACACCCACCATCGCCTGCCTCCGCCCTTCTTCGCCCGTCTCCGCCCTTCTTCCGCCTCTCTCCATCGCCTGCCTTTGCCCTCAAATACCCATCTTCCGCCTCCTCTCCCGCCTTCAATCTCCATCACACGCCTTCGCCCTCCAACTCCAGCCGTTTTTGTTCTCCTCCACCGTTGTGTTTCGGCCCCGTTGCATCCCTACGGGCAGTTCCGTACAAAGAAACCGAGAGAAGATTCTTCAAGAGGGGCGGGGAGGGGAGGGGAAAGGAAGCGCCGGGCTCTTCCATTTGGACCTGTTGTTGCCTCGTTAGACGGGATAATAACGCGCCTCTGAGAGATAGAAAGATACGATGACGTTAGGAAGTATTCATAATTTACAATTGAGGTCGCGCTTTTTAATAGGGAGTGAATGAAATGGTTTAGAAAGAATATCTCAGTGTTGTAACAGTATTTGATGTGACAAACTTCTTAACTTTTAACTAAAACTGCTTTATCTACTTTCGTTGATTTATTTTAGAAACATGGTGTTCCAAGAACTGCATTCAAACGGGAGTTCAAAACGTGGAATTCATTTAAATTATTATTTAAATGAAATTATTTTAATTAGCTTATTCCCAGCTTTGTATTAGAGCTCAACATCATTATGCATGACACAACCGACATTTTAAATATTGAAACAAGGATTGACTTAACAATTTATGTAATATTAAATAGGATAAAGAAATGCTCAATGAGGTGACAGATAATCATCTAGTACTTCACAATTCAAAACCGATTATTTCCTCCAAGATCAATAACGGTTAGAGAATATTTCCATGAAAAGAGCGAAACCAGCATTGAACAAAAGTAGCATTGACCTACTACGTATTTACCGCAACCCAACACATAAAGTTAATCAGGAATGCAGGTAAAAGTACGAGTTAAATGAAGTCTCAGTGAGTCGCAGGCCAAGCCTTTGGGCGTGCCCGCTGGCATCTCCTCCAACAATGATCGATTCGTTGCGCTGTGATGGATCTGTGTCAGGGAACGGCTCTCGCTGCCAGCATTACAAGCCGCAAGAGAAGCCAGCGGAGAAAACGGCGAAAGGATATCAAATAAACAATACGTTCATGGCTTCGTTTCTGCCACTACTCGAAAATCAGATAAATCTAACAACTGTATAATTAAGAAATTAGACTTACTAAAAGGCGATGTAGGAATTCTCTAAATAATAACTTATAAACTATTTTAAGATAAATTAAATTCGTTCTTTTGGACTAGTTCTAGTGTTGCAACACATCAACGACTTCTCTATGGGCGAAAGCAGAGGTTCTCAGACTATGGGGTGCAATGGCTGTAGAAAGTGGCGCGAGATATTTTGAAAAATCGGTATTGTATTTATTTGTAAAAAACAATAAAAAATACAAAATTGAAACATTTTATTGCTTTGCCCTTGCATGTATGAAGTCTAAGTATCAAGGAATGTGATGAAAACATATCAGCAAAGAACTAAGTCGAACTTCGAACTTCCCACCCCGTTTTATAACGCTTTGTGAAGATAAAAACAAGTCCACATTAGAAATGTGTATTATCACTGTCCTAAATACTTGTTACTTTTTCAAAACGTTCGCTAGTAATCATATATGTATTTGTAAATGGAGTTTTATTTCATTTTAATGCTGTTTTTTCAAGATCTTTCAAGAACTGTAAAAATAAAATAAATTCAATAGCTTTGTTTGTTTTAATTTGTATATTAAACTGCACCTGCTGTTTATGCAAAAATGAAAAAAAATATTTTAACAAAAATGTAATTATGTAGGATAATACAAAGGGCGCGGTCGTATGATACACCAGGGCAGAGGAGGAGTCGCGGGCTGAAAAATATGAGAACCTCTGCTTTAAAATATTTCGAAAATAACTGGTTCATTACTCAATTGCTGTACTGCTTACTACTTTTATAAATTACATCCCGCAAGCCACTGTTCAGAGGTTCGAGACATATTCCTGTCAGATAAATTATTCTCGAGATAAATAATAAGTAAGTAAATAATAAAAAATAATAATAATAAATAAAAAATAAATAAAATAATTTGGACAAATGCTAGTTGTCTGGCCATTTTTGTTAGCCTATGTTTTAGCAAGAAAAGACATTTGATTAACAGTTAAATTTTGTTGCCAACTCCGTAAATTTCGCATTTTTGAATAATTATTTTTTTTTTCAACACAGAAGAAAATAGACCGGACTGAAAATGCAACGTAGTCACATGCTCTTAGTTGCTTGAGTATGTTCAGGCCGTTCCCCGAATATTCTGCAAGCGCACTGTCCTTTCACATTTCAGTATCACATCCCGGACTTTTAAGAGCTTCGGTATTACCGTTTCCCCCCGCCTTCTTGGAGTATAGAAAGGAAATCACGCGGAGTCTCCTGAATGAATAAGCTGCAGCGAAAGGGGAAGCAAAATCAAGGAACTACAATATCTGTTGTGGTAACGCTTCCCGGGGATGCCTTGGTAGTTTTTACCGCAAGTTCCGAAAAGGAAATGCCGCCATTTCATAACAAGATAACTCGTTCCGCCCGCTCCCTTGCTCACTGCCCACTCTTCCGCCGCCACCGCCAGTGACTCACTGGCAACCTGAGACCGCGACCCACCGCTGCAAAAATCTGCTTAATGGTCACGTTCCCACTTACTTCATTTGCGTTTGATCTCTCTGGTGACGCAACAGACAATTAGCCAAAAGCAAGTGCACCATTAAGCCAGTTAAAATAAGACGCAAATTGTTAGAAATTCGGAAATATTAGAAATAGGGAAAGCTTTAATGTCGTTATGAAAATGCAGTTCTCTCACTGTACTTTTTTGAACACTTATTTCTAATGTTGAAATATATGTAGATTATTATTGGGCGACATGTTTGAAAATAACATAATTTTCTCATGTTCTTAGTGGATCAAAAAGTGTAATACCTCAATACTACTGTTAAATGTTCCTTCACATCATTTATTTGATGTTGTAAAACTTAGACACCGTCACATAGTATGTTCCAATTATAGGATTTCGTGTTTTTTGTAAAATAAAGTGAAGATGATCAAGAAGTCTATCCCTGTGTTCATTTTGAATAGTTTGATGTCTCGAAATGGAATAGTTTATTATACCTGTTAATGCAATAAATTTCATGACATTGTGTACATCCATTTATTTATGAAAACTTTTTTTATTTTTACTTTTTATATATATTCATTGAGTCATCTCTGCCCATGTAGTCGTGAGCTCACGAGTTCAAGAACTTCACATGAATACAGAAATAACGTTTACACGACTCGAAAGAATACGATTTAGCGCAAGTTACCGCTCGTGATGCAAGACTTTGCAAAGGAACAGAAAAAGGACAAAATAATTCCTCGAAAAGTCAGGAAGATATATTTAGTTAAGGAAATGATAATTTCTTTTCTTTGAACACAAAGACGGTAACTTCCTTTTATTTGGATTCTCGTTAGTACGTTACTACACGTTAAATTTCTCAGGAAAAGCAGTAGACAAGGAAGATTGCAATTATTATACCATAACTACAACTGGCACAGTTCTGACTTAATCAAATAATATGATTCAAGTATGTGTAATTCAATGGGCTTTTACCTCCATCAATGGAAATAAATCACTCGTAATTCAATGCTCAAGCTTATAATTATGTAATGCACAGAACAAATATTTATTGTGGAGTGATATCGATGTCCTTACAATAAGAGATCTAACACCAACGTGAGGATAGCTACACAATAAATTTTGTACTTCACTGCCACCAGACAGGGAAGTACTAGTATCGTTATACCAACGAGAGAAGCCCCTAATTACTTTTACTTCCTACATGACTTTCTGAGTTATTATAGGCTTTTGCCATTCATCTCGATCGTATGGCAAACTACTGAAACAGCGTAGTTGTCCAGGCAGGAAGGGTATAGCCGGTAAGTGAATTGGGCGAACGCGTTACGCACAACGAGGGTTGTTGGCAGAGCAAACGCTCGTACTAGCACACAAATACACGCCCGCGCTCGAAGAGAAAGAAAAAATATTTATAAAAATAAAAGTATTTTTGCCACTATTGTACAAATGTCAGTATTTTTCATCCTGCTGTTTTCCTGTGACATTTTAATTTTTCTGTTCAACGATGTTACCAGTGAAGGACAAAGTTTCGGACAAAAAATAGCCTTTTTAAGTAATAAGATATTCCTCTTAGTAATATCCACAATGAATATCATTTTACAGACAGAGACGTTCAAATTAGTTAGGCACTTTCTTTTGAAGGATGGCGAGTGAATCGCAATAATTCCAAATGAAACTTTTGAAATGTGATTCACTTTTGAAATGTGATCTATGTTAACTTTATGAGTTACACGAATAGACCACAGTATACATGAATTGCGGGCACTGTATTCATTAGTGAAACCTCTCTGAAAGTTCGCCCCTATAAAACGACCACTCCTCTCAAAGACTGATTTTCCTTGCAATGGAAACCTATATTGTTTGTAAATTGCCCTGTTACAAGACCACCTACCTCTTTCACCATCGACTAGCCCCTTAATAGCAATTTTCTTAATTTGGTCCATTAAAAGGGTCGCTTTTAGCAAAATTGTAAGAGTAATATTGCACACTGCATTTTTAGAAGTTAAAAGTAATGTTGGGGTCGTTCAAAACAGCATTCTTGCGACATGTCCTGTGTTTGAACTCTTCAATCCACAAAAATCGGGAAAGGAAGATTCCAGGAATCGTGTAACAATACACCACGACTGCTGGCTCAATTTCAGATTAATTTCTAATAGAGGGAGATGTGGAGGATGAGAGCGGTGGTTTGCGCGGCCGGAGTCAGTAGCTACTTGGCGTCCTAAGCACTGGTGCTTAAGTTTCGGCCGCCTTTCTTTGCCCTTCCTCAGAGCCAATTTCACCCTGAGGAAGGTCGCAGAATGGCGACCGAAACGTTGGCATCTGTGGCTAGGTCACGGC